TAATACCGCAATCCCCTCATCTGCCCCAAGTGTTCCTGTCTATCAGATAAAAATTTTGAAAACAATCGTTATTAAAATTTTAAGAAATTTTTTTATAAATAAAACTATCTTTTTATTCGCTCTATTATATTGAATTTATAATTATATTATCAAAATAAAACTATGTTATATTTTAATATGGCTAATATATTATGTTAAAAACTGAGACATTTATTTATATTAATTAAATTTTTAAAAAAAAATCATAAAATTTTGAACGAACGTGAACACGTTCATGAACATGTTCTTTTTTTTTGAAAGTGAAAGTGAACGCGTTCGATTTTTTTGGAAATGTTTACAGCACTATTATTTTCAAATAACAGGTAACAACTATCATAAGAGTAGAAAATTCTCATTCCCCGTCATTTTTGACGGGCTCAGCAATGCTGACTAACGGGAGCTCTGGTATTCTTTATATATTTTTTATTTTGCTCATCAGGAAAGACGGGATTAAGAATATCTTATGAAGTGTGATTCACAAATTTACCTCTTTTCTAAATTTTAATGTTTTTATAAAATAAAGTATATGTACACAACTAATTACCCCTTAACCCCGTTATTCTTGACGGTTATTACCTAGTTTTTTATAAATGTCATATAATTTGCTTACAATTTATAAACATTTCAATTATCCTTACAAATTTTATATTAAAATTATAATTAACTTTTTTTTCAATATACGTATTCGACACACCTTCCTTTAATAGGCCTAAATCCATTCTGAACTCCCCATACAGGATAGCTATCAGGGATCCAAACCGAACCATTAAACCGCTAAAACCCGGTATTTTTTCTAGCCGAACCTGAACCGAACTGCTTTAATGCCTCTGAACTGGTTCAAGCCTTATTATTTTATACTTATAAAATAATATGTATGTTAAAGTTAATAGTTACTAGTATATTGCAAAAATTTTAATTATATTCGAATTGTTATAAAGATTATTACATTTGATTGATAAGTGTCAGTCATAATTTCTATAAATTTACTATATTGCCATTTTACAACATTTTTTAAATATTTTAAACTTATAAATTATCCTAGAGAAAAATTATATTATAAATGGCACAGCAATATAATATTACTGATTGTCAAATAAATACGAAAGGTCGAACAAATCTTGAGCGTCACATAAAACGAAACCACCCTCTAGAATTCGATAAAATTAACAAAATATCACAATAGCCTAATAAAATTAAATAAAAGATGTCATCAAGCCAACAAACAATAGAAGAAACATTAAAAGAACAAGCAATATCATTAAAACTAAATAAAAAAAATAATAATCGATGCTTTTACTGAGTTGATCACCTTTAATTGCAGACCATTCAAGCAGCATACAGTGAACCTTATTTTACAGCTTTGGAATGGGAAGCATTTATAGGGTTAATAAACATCCTAAAATTTAAAGTAGCTACCAAGAACTTACAACTTGAGCAGCTAACTTTATGGGATTTTTATGGCATATTGCTAAAGGTTAAATTAGAAATTTCTATTTATACTTCACCCTTTGCTGGTTCAATAATAGATGCTCTAAATTTTAAAATGAAACAACAATGCCTTTTTATCATGCCTATATCTAGATTTAAGGTATGTTTTAAAAATATTATATTATATCTTGTAATTAATTTAAATAATAATTTTATTTACATTAATTATTAATTTATTTTACATTACATATTTTTCTATCTATTTATTAAAAATAATAAGATTTTCTTAATGATATTTTTAACTTTTATTATATAGATACAAAGTGCTTTTGACTTAAGAAAAAAACCAAGGCAGAGAGCATATTATTAAAATATGGCATAACATGGAATTAAACTTTGTTTTAAGAGTGGTGGATTTTAGTGAAGGTGAATCAATGCCGGTTAATATACTTAAAATGATTTGGTAGAAAGTCTTCTTTTAAGAAAAGATGGTAACAAACAAAATCTGTTACAAAAATCGGAGAATATTAGAAATATTTTAGTTAATTTATCTAAAGAAAGGTTAAATAAAAAATATGAATATTTTAAACTATTGGAGAGATCAGAGTAATTGATACCCAGAATTATGAAAATTCTCTGATATCATAGTGCCAGCTACCTAATTTAGTGCGGAAAGATGTTTCAACAATTAAATTTATACTATCTCCTAGTTAAATATTATTTTATGTACACTTAATAAAAATTAAGGTTTTATGTATGTATTTTTTATTTTAATGATGAAATAAAATATATATTCTTCCCTATACATAATTCGAATGTAGGTTTGAATACAAAAGTGTTATAACCGGTTTTTCGAGGTTCGAACCGATCCGATATTATTATTTTTACCGAACCTGAACCTGGAACCGTTATTTTTATCTGAACCGAACTAATATTCGTTTCGGTTTGAATCCCTGATAGCTAGCTATACGTTTGACTGATTCTAAAACATTGAGTTATCCCCATCTTTTGCGAAGGCCACTACTAAATACTTCTTTTGTCACATTGTCTACGATCAAACCTCTATGAAACGGTAATCTCTTGTAACGATAACAATTTCTTGTAACAAAGATTTCTTATACGATAACTACTACCTGTATCTTAACGACCTCTTATAACAATAGATTTCTTGTAACGATAACGATCTCTTGTAGCAAATTTCTTTTAGTTATTACGATGTTTTGTGACAAATTTCTTTTAGCTAAAACGATCTCTTGTAACTAAACGACTAATTCTATACTCTTTTGAACATGCGTTACTTCTACTATAGCTACTAAAATATGCTCTTCCGTTTCTTCTACGACCATTTGCCTGGATATTGTAACAATTTATCTTAATTGATCTTATTCTTTGTCTTAAGGTCGATGGTCATTTCATAAATCCCCCTCCCCTTTTTTAGAATTTCTTTGCTGAGTTAATTAGACTGAAGTTTTAGGCCTATAGTACATACGGTTTCGGCACCAATGCTTAAACAAGTAATGTTTATTATGAACCAAGATTGAAGATGCCAAATTAAATTATTAAAATATATAGTTAATCAAATCATTCTAAAATAAAATAAATTAATTAAACGGAAAATTTGCTTACAATTTAAACATTTCAAATATCCTGTCAAATTTTATATTTATCTTTAAAATTATAATTAACTTTTCTTTTTCAATACACGTATTCGACACCGACTTTGAAATGAGATTAAAAAAATGGTTGATTGGATGATAAACGAAGATGGCATCTTTCCATTAAATTGATGGATAGATGATTTCTGCTCATCTCAATTATTGTAACCCTGTTGATGTAATGTCATGGAGTTTGAAAGGAAAGAGAAAGATCGAAAATATGAATTGCGCGGTTTTTCATCAATAAAATCATACGAAATTTTTCGGCTCGGCCCGGATTTTATATTTTCTGCCGTCCCTGATTTTTCTAAAATATTTTTTATAATATACGGGCCCCGGTATTTTTAAAAAAAAGTATTTTCGACCCAACGCGGGTATTTAAAATTTTTTTTAGGCCCGGTCCGGGTATATTTAAAAAAAAATAAAATACGGCCCGTGTACCCGGTCTTAGGGTCTGGTCTACAGGTCTGAGAAAAAGTAACAAAATCGACTATTTCATTGATGCAGGTATTATAATTTTATCAAAATTGTATTAAATTATTTTGTAGCCATAGTAAACTCATATTTGATTAGCCTTGTATGACTATGGAAGACTTTAGTAGGGAATTAATATCTGGTATGCTGGCAGAAATGGTATTTTATATGGAAAGCTTACCAAAAGTAATAAAAAGAGTTTCCTTGGGGGGTTAGGAAATATGCCGCCCCATTTATCTATAAAATCAGTTCAAAGAAGAAGGTATACACATTGCTTAGCTGTTAATAATGGATATCGCTCAGATTAGTTATTTTCTGTTCGTGATGAAATTGTTTTAAACCATTTTATGAATAAAAAATCATAAATTATTTATATGCACAATGGGATATCAGATGTCCCACTTTAATTTTTGTAATATCTTATGAGATATTTCTAAAAATAAAATTATAACGAAATTATAGATTTTTACTGATATTTTCAATAAAAATTTTACCTCTCATAAATTTCTGTGGAAAATGGGTATGGTTTGGAAGACAATTTAAAGAAAAAGGTTATTGGCAAAATAAGAAAAAATTAACATGCTAGAATGGAAAATATAGAAAAGTTAAATATCTGGTTTGTGAAAATATTTAATGTCACATTAGTATATATTAATTTTTCGATGAATTTTCTGAACCACAAAAATAAAGCGAATTAAAAACAAGACGTTGCACTTTAAGCGTATAGTGAGCAAGCGTTTGGACTTATTAATTCTGAAACCTTATACCGAACCATTAAGTCGCGCTTAGTACATTTTATTGTTTATTCTGTTGGGGAAAAAATGTCAAAATTTGCATTATGCCAGACTAAATATGTGTTATGCTTTAATATTTAGTTCTTTACTTATTAATTCTCAATCAATTTCGCCAGTCAAAAAAAGTAACCAGGTATCAAGCCAAATAATTCTGATATCATGTCTTAAGCGTGGAGAGGTCCGACCAAAAATATAAATTATAACATTTTAAAAATTAGGTTTAACTTTACTATTTTTTATTGTTTGTTTAGGAATATTTTCGTTTGGGGAATTTTTTTCCGGGGATAAAAATATAAATTATAACATTTTAAAATTTAGGTTTAACTTTACTACTTTTTATTATTTATTTGGGAATATTTTCATTTGAGGAATTTTTTTCTGGGAATATATTTATGGATAATAATTTTTCCTATTTAATTTTCTAAAAAAAATAAATTATATTTTTAGGATATATTTTTTTACGTGGATTTTCTGTCATTCGTCTACACCACTGTCTTTATGAAAATTTTAAAAATATCTTATATCAATATTTTATTATTAATAATATTTTTTATTATAGAGATGTACGTACGTTATTCATCATACATTGAATAATTTTAAAAAAAACTAGGTATACCTGCTATCAATTCATCCATATGGTTGTCGAGTTATTCAACGAATCTTAGAACATTGTTCCTCTAGTCAGGTTAAATTAATACTGGAGGAAATGCACGAGAACATTGAAAAATTGGTTCAAGATCAATATGGTAATTATGTAATACAACATGTTCTTGAACATGGACAGCTTGACGATAAAAGCAAAATTATACAATCATTGCGTGGTAAAATAGTTCCTCTGAGCCAACATAAATTTGCTAGGTTAAATATTTAAAAAATTAGAAGATAATGTTTTGTCTATAATTATTTATTTATATAGTAATGTTATAGAAAAATGTATTATTCATTCTTCGAGGGTGGAAAAAATGATGCTTATTGAGGAAATATGCAATACAGGCGAAGGGTATTTATTAATTTTTATTACATATATAAAATATTTATTATTTTGACAGGGTATCGTACTGAACCTTGAAATAGTAATCAACCATTAAAATAAAATAATAAAAGGAAAGAACTGAACCGTTAATAGATATTTTCGAATTGTTTAATGTCGTTTTAAATAATCATAATTATAAAAAATCCAAAACTTATAAAAAAAATCGCCGACATGAATTGCTAAACAGATAAATTTGTCCCAAAATAACCGGAACGAAACTAAATCGTTGTATAAGAAATATAGTAGCTACACCTTGTTTTATAATTTAAAATATATAATATTTTGCTTATATTAGGAGCAACTGCGCCCTATTGATAATGATAAAAGACCAATTTGCAAATTATGTTATTCAGAAAGTCCTTGAGTTGTCAGATTGCAATCAAAAAAAACTTTTGCTTCATCGGATTAGGCCCCATGCTATTTCGCTTCGCAAATTTACCTACGGAAAACACGTTCTAACTAAACTCGATAAATTTTGCTTAGCTGCTGCTCATGCATCTACCCCCTTGACTTCCCTTGAACATGATGATTGTTGTTCTAATAATTTATCATTGTCACCTTCTTCCATCAATTTAGTCTAATTATCATATACATATGAATTCAGTTTATTAACTTAAATTTTTCAACAATTTAATTACTAAATAATTTAAAATGGATATATTTTAAAATAATCACATAATAAATCATGTAATAGCTTTAAATTGTTTTTCATATTATTTTATTTTGATAGTTTTAAAATAATTATTTTCTAATTAATGAATTTTTAAATAATGATTTTGGTTTAAAATAATTAATGATATTTATGATGGTTAAATTAATTTCGTTATCTAACTTAAATCACTCAATATGTAAGGCTCTTAAATAATATTGATTTGTTTATAATCTATATTTCGGTGCTAAGGATTCATTAAATAAACCTTCCTCTATTTTATTCATGATATTACGATTTTTAATTCTTTGCTTACATTTTTTAAAATATTTGCATTTAAAATGTATATATTTTGATATTATTTTTAAACAATTCGCTAGAAGACTACATAAAATAAATTTATTTATGCGAATAATGCGTTATATCATTTGTATTTATTATATAGTGATTATATTATTTTTTTAAATTTATATTGTATCATTTGTAAAATTGTTACCATTTAAATTTAGCAACATTTTGTAAAATAATGAAAATTATCATTCATGTTTATTTTTATTTTATAAAATTTTAATGCTTATACAATATCCTGATAATATTTAAAGAATATTTTTGGTTTATTATAATGTAAAGACCACTTTTATGTAAATTATTTTTTGTAATATACATTGTTAGTCAGTCTATATTATATGACTAATATTCATATTTAGCTTCAATTTTTATTTTTAACGCCTTAGGTAAGAATATTTATAATATTTCTTTCTATTATATATTGTAAATTTTTACCCATATTTTTTGTATTAGAATATAATGATTTATTCGTGATGATTTTTATTAATAAAATATTTTCAAAAATAAGTTATTGTAACTTCCAGACGATATGAATTATTTTTAACAATATTATTGTGCTGTAAACGTTACTACAAAAAAGAAGCGCGTTACCGACCGTTACTTAAAAAAATTAAATATATACAAAAATAATATTTATTTTTTTCCTACAATATATAATAAGATAAAACTATACAAAAAGAATATATAAGATCGTTTTATAAAAAAATATTCATATATTTAATTATAATATAAATAAAATTATGCAAAAATAATATATTATAAGATAACATCTTTATGTAACAATTTTTTATTTATTTTTAGCAACAATTGATTTCAAAATTTTGATCAGACAAACAAGAGCGCTTAGTGCTCAACACAGCTGGTTAAAAAATGGGATGTTATATATAGTATTTGAACAATAAAAAAATCTATAATGAAATTCTCTGTAAAATTTTGTTATTAGATAAATCCTGACTACGCCACTATTTCAAATATATATATTATTTATAAGTTTTTTAAAATCACTATTTTTTATTCTTTAAATTTATTAACAATTATAGTCAAACCAATAGCAATAATAAAACAAGAAATGATATAAAAACTCTATATATTACTTTGAACCAAAGTCAATATTTTGTTAATCTTGGGATTTAAATGTTGGTTCCCAGCCCAATACTGTAGTGTAATTTAATTGCTTATGTGCCGATCCATATATTTTTCACCGATCAAATATTGCTTCAAAATCGATCCGATATTTATATTGATATTTCCCCCTCCCCCCTTTAAACCAAATGTAATTAAGAAATCAATATTTATGCAAAAAATCAAATTATGCATTTAATTTAATTTTTTTTATTTCTAATTGAGACTATAATAAAAAACATATATTTGATAATATATCCATTTTATGTTGGTATGAATAATAATTGTATTTAATATATAAAATTATAACATATTAGATTTTTTTTAATAAATACGAGAGCCTCATTTTTTTAATTATAATTGGAGTTGTTAAAGTATCTAGTGGATACTATATCTAGATTAGTTATCAGCATCGGACCTAATTTTTCAAGCTTGGCCCAAACCCAATTTTTTTTAAAAAATGTTTTGCCAGACCGGCCCGAATTTATTTAAATATAGAAATGAATTCTTTCAAAATAAAAGATATATGTCATATGGCGTCTAGTTTCTATAAATAAAATCCCATATTTTTACTTATAAAATTCAACATAAAATTTTTAAATTTAGTATTTAAAAAATTTTCAAGGCCCAACCGGGCCCATAAATTTTTTAAAAAAAGAGGCTCGGCCCATAGCCCGTTCGGACCGGGCCGGGTAGTAGCCGTGCCTATTTTTGCAGATCTCTAATCCATATACCAAAATGTATCTGTATCTAGATAGAGGTATCTGTTTTTAGATACAAATCTGTGAAGTTGGCGGAACGATCTGAGGATCAATTAATAAAACCTATGACAATATTTAGAGTCTTAATTGATCTTCAAACTAGACATCAGCGGAATTAAAGGTTAATGAGTTATAAGGAAAATGTGAAATTTTGAAGCTGACGGAACGATTTGAGGTAAATTACCGAAACCTATACCATTGTGTAGCCCGTTAATTGATCTTCTAACCGGAAAGCAGCGGAATGAACCGTTACTGGGTTATGAGCAAAATAAGAAAGTGTTAAAACTTTGCCAAAACCGAAAATATAAAAGATTGTAATCTGAAACTTGGCAATTATGTAGTATTCAATGTGTACATTAATAATCTTTAAACCGGATATCGATATCACTAAGCGTAACCGAGTTATAACCTTTTTAAAAACGCAAAGTTACCGGAAATATTTTTATAAAGTGAGTATCAATTACCGAAAATTATGCCAATGTGTAGCCCATTAATTGATTCTCTATATTCAACGGAATGTCAAAAAAATTAAAGGAAAGTGAGTTATCAACAATAAATATTTCAAAGTCAAATTTAGACCTGTCAAATTTGCATTAAAGATGAAACTTATATCATTTTTTACTTATATCATTTTTTAGTGCTCGGTTGATAACAAGTGCTTAAGAAGTTTAATAGCCGAAATCAAAATGTAAAATTTATTAACAAAATTATTTTAAAAAGAGTCGGTACACCAAAACAAAATCTATAAAAGTGACAAACATCCTATTTTTGCCATTATTTAGTGATAGTAAATTTTTTTGAGAGTAATAAATATTTAAAGGTCAAATTTGTATCTCAGAAATCATGGACTGCCCTATTAAATTTTTTCGATTTGCGAAGCCAATAATAAAGCTCGAAAGCCTATTATGTTACTCTTATAAAAGTCTAGTCCTTTGTTTTTTGATAGATCTTAACATTTTTAAAAAAATATATTCGAAAAATGTAATATTAATTTTGAATTACAAATGTCTATCTAGAAAAATTATATATTATTTAATTTAGCCAAGTATATCGGCCTTTTTGACTTGTACTTATCGTTATATTTTAATCTAAGCTGAAGATTTTTTATATAATATAATATGAAGTAATGGTGAATAATAATTACGAATAGTAATATATTAATCAAAAAAAGCAAAAACAATGAAGGTAATTTGTTAATCGCAATATATATCTATTATAAGCGTGGGGGCGTTGTGTTCTAATTAATAATTGTTGAAATTTTTCGGCTTGAGTATCCTTGGATATTTCATAGGAGATATGTGGAATTGATTGAGACTTCATCCAATCGTCAGGTTGTTATTATTTCTATGAGCAGGCCAGATATAAAAGGGGAGGGGGGGGGGGTTCTATTGTTTCTAAACCGAAGAGGGATATCTCTAAGTTGGCTTGGTCACTAATGTTGTTGATAATGCTAGTTTCGTTGGCGTTATTCGTGGGTAGAAGCGGAAATATATAAGATCCAAGTTCGTCGGCTGGATTGTCCGTACTTAATTTAAATTTAAGGTGATAAGTCCTCTAACGAGTGGAATGAGAATTGCTCGAGGACCCAGATTGTGGATGATGGTTCCGACATTCCTGAGATCAATGAGAGTATGGATGGTTTCCGATCCGAATAGTGAGGCATTGGTTTTAATCATTTGGGTGGCATTGGGCGCGGTCGCCGGTTCAATGTCTTGATGATTCGTCGGCAGGTATGTCATCTGTGGGCATCCATTGGATATTTTGCAATATGGCCGTGAAATTAGGGAAGTCAAGTCTTATAAAAATCTGAGTAACGACGATCTCGATTGCGGGGGAATCTGAATCCGCCTTTCTTGTATACTTAAGAGCAGCGCTGCTTCGGTAAAAGACACCGACATGTTATCATAACCCCAGAATGTTAGTACGATGAAGTCATTGGAAGCGTCTTTGAATTGACTTAATTATCCGCCTATTATTTTTTATTTAGTTTATATAAATACAAAGTCGGTAACTATTTTTCAAAATAAATAACATCTTGATTTATTAAAATATATTAATTTATAAAAAAAACCAATAATCTTTTTTAAATATAAAAGAATGTAAACAAGATAAAATTTTATAAAAAAAACAATTTTAATTTTACAATTAAAAATATTTTTTTGGAAATCTACCATGTGTGTATAACATTATAGGGATAGGCGATTAATTATCACGTATCACTTTAAATACATAATAAGGTACTCCAAAAATAAGAAATAATACAGATGAAACTACAGTTGCGGCAATTGTAATCACTTATCTTGTAGTACAACATTCACACAGATACTTATCATCATAATGTTGGTAGAATCTTTTTCCCATAATATTTAACGACTCTAATATAAATGAAAACTATACTTGTAGAACAAAAATGAGCAAGGCTATCAATGTTTTAGGACCTGACGATTTGAAACCATATATAAATATAGCAGATTCGAGATTAACAATAAATTGCATGTCAGCTTTCTGATCTGATAATGCCTCAGTGAATTTGGTAAAAACAGAGTGTATTTACAGAATTGAGTCAGCACAATGTTGGTTGCGATATGTTCCTAACACCCGCCGGAATTTTAAAATTTTATAAACTTTTAAAAAAATATTTCTTAAATAAAGATTATAAAAACTCCTAATATTTTGAAAGTTTTTTTCAATAATGAATGGCAGAGGTATATTTAGGAATGATTTCACATGTAGGAAATCTACTACTAGCTGTTAATGTGTAGTTGCAATCAGAAGAATCTTAACAAAGATTCACAAAATTATGCTTCAGATGTGTTCATCTTTACAGAAAAAAGACAATAAATTTTATGGCGACATTGCTAAAACTTAATTATATTTTATTTGAGATTTAAATTATAGAACTAAATGTTTACCGTCGATATTGAGATTAGTGATCTGCATCGGGCCTAATTTTTTAAGCCCGGCTTTAAAATGGTTATGCCGACCCGGCCCAAAATTTTTTTTAAAAGTTTTGCCGGCCCGGCCCGAACCCGAAATTTTTTTAAGATAATTAACCGGCCCGACCCGAATTTATTTAAATTTAGAAGTTAACTTTTATAATTACTCAAAATAAAAGACATATGTTATATGGCGTTTAGTTTCAATAAATAAAATCAAAAATTTTTATTTTACATAAAAAATTCAATATAAAATTGATAAATTTAAAAAAAATTTCAAGTTCCGACCTGACCCGGCCCAATTTTTTTAAAAAATATTAGGCCCGCCCCGAACCCAATTATTTTAAATATAATATGGCCCGAGCCCGGCCGGACTCGGGTCGGGTGCGGGCCTAACTTTTCAGATCTCTAATTGAGATATTTATAAAATTCCTGGCATGACATATTATATATTTGTTTAATCATTAGCTCGGCCTCTAATGTTGTTAAAGCAATCCGATTTCTCTCCTTTTTCCAGGCAATCCTCATCAGGCTAAAAATGCGCTCGGATGAGGCATTAGAATGAGGTAATGAGAAGACATACTCGCATATTTTTTCCAAGCATGGGGATTTATCGTTATTACGAAAAAATTCTACCCATTTCTCTTCTGCTTTTAGACCATCTAACTTTAAGTATTTTGGCGAATCATAAAAAATAGAGAGAATTACAATCTCCTCAAACAAGAAATCAATGTCTTTCGGTATTTTTAATATATTTATTATTAAAAACCATCAATTGATGATTTCTGTTCCAAGGTCATAATATTTATACATTTGTAAATAGAGTTATTAAAATCAACTTTTGATTATAAATATTCTAAAATTGTCTTAATAAAAATATTCATTTAAAATGTATTAATTAGAGTATTATTTGAACATTTTAATATAATATTTTTAGCAATAGCGCCTTAAAATTTATTATCAATTTTTAACTGTAGAGATGAACAGAGCTGTAGCATGATTTTATGAATCTTTTTATTAAAGAATATTCTGATTGCAACTGAATATTAACTGCATGAAGTAGATTTCCTACATGTGAAACGAATCCCAAATATGCTTCTGCCATTTCATACTTGTAAAAATTTTTAAAAATTTTAGGACAGCTTTTAAAATCTTTATTTAAGAAAAGTATTTTTTTAAGGGTTTGTAAAATTTTAAAATTCTATCGATGGCAGGTATTAATGACAACCACCTGATAGGTATATATCGCAACAACTCACACCATTTCAAGTCAGACCACTTTTTCCAACTTTTTAAATTCATTAACTCTTTTAGTTGATGAACTAAATTCGTTAAAACATTTCATCACAATTATTTAGACACCCACAGATAGTAAATTTATTGACTTCTAACAAGAATTATGTAGTATATGGCATATACAGCCAATTGATATTAATTCATTATTGTGCTGCCTCAATTCGGTAACTTTGGTTTTTGCCAAAACAGAGGAATTATCAACGCAGAAAGCTGACATGCAAATCATTGGTAACCCTGAATCAGCTATATTTACCATATGTGGCTAACGACATCGTTGGATTTTTCACTATCCGAGGAAAATTTTTTAACAGTTTTATGGAAATGTTCTTATTCTTGTTGAAATAGCGAAAGATCAAGGGAAATGTTTTAATATTTCCCTTATTAGATGCATCTGTTAGAATTGAAAATGGATGCCCATCTTTTAAATCGCCTAGAATTGACCTCTAGGATTCAGGTACTAAAACACTTGTGATAGCCTTGCTCATTTTTGTTCTGGCTCAAGAAAGGTTTGCACATATATTGAAGTCGTTAAATATCATGAGAAAAAGATACGACCCACATTGTGATGATATAGCTCTGTGAATGTTGAACTAGATGATTGTATACGATTTCCGCAAATGTAGTTGCATCTGTATTATTTATTATTTGAGAATATTTTTGTATTGCAATCGATGTTGATATACTCCCCTGTACTGACTTATATGAATGAAATGATGTTGATTTATTATTGGATAAAAATAAAACAGAATTGAAAGAAATTTACAAACTAGACATGTTTTTCGAATAAATATTTAAAATTATTAAAAATATAAAAATCATCAATTAATGTCTCTCAAAATTATTATTTATATATTAAAAATGTTAAAATACTAAAAAAATAAATTGCGAGAAATTAAAAAATTGCAGTAGATTTTAGCGGGAGATTTCCAGTTGCGGTAGTTTTGCGGGAGAGAGATGTCTGCGTGTAAACTAAAAAATTGCGGGAGTTTCCCACTGATGGGGGAAGACATGGCAACCCTGATTATGATCATTAATTAATCATAAAATATTTTATAAACAAAATAGTGGTGTATTAATTGTATACACTGTTTTTAACTACCTCCCACTCTAAATATTTTGGCATTGGTTTTTTCCTAAATATATTCTTTGCAAATCATCATTCTTTTAAGACATCCCCTTATCGTCATCAATCTTAATCTCTTTTTTCTCACTTGGAATCAATTCATTTTGTTTTATACTTTTCGCCTTCGATTTGCTATTTCAACCCATAAGTGCCCTCCAAAAAGGACTTAATTAACATAATAACAAATATATTAAGTCCTGTAGAAGTATAAAGTTTTCTTTCAATCTGTCGACAAAAACAAGAATGCTTGAGTTTATGTCATTTTACAGAACCCAAAAAGTATACACATAATAACATAATGAATGTATTTGCTATTAAATTCTAATTCATCATGTTCTTTAAAAATATGCCTGCATTAATACAACTTAATTTATTCATATTTATCTTTTCAAAAAATGAATATGTCACCATAGTTCACTCAACAAAGAAAATACTTGTTATAGAAATTCAAAATGCCTAGCTTTTATCATTTTTATTATAAAGGCAATTAATCTTTGCAAAATTACAATTACTCTTAACAATAATCATCGATTCAGAATGCAGATTCATTAAGGCAGCTGTAAATGATGAAATAATTTTTGTATTTATATATATCAGAGACCTGCAGACTGACTTAATATTTTAATTTTTTTTAAATATACCCGGGCCGGGTCTAAAAATATTTTTAAAAAATACTCTACTTTAAAACCAAATATTTTGAATTATATATTTTAAAAAAAATCTATGCCAAGGACTAAAAATTTTTTTTAAAAAAAAATCCGAGCCGGTTCTGTAAAAAACCTAAAAAATTTTGAAAAAAAAATCCGGGTCAGGACAAGCCGTACAAATGGTACCTCTGCAGGTCTCTGATATATTATAATTATTTATAGACAAAAGAAAAATATTTAAAGCTTTTTAAACACTATGAGATTAAATGAGTAAACTTTACCATCAGATATAGTTTACAAAGCTAATGCCTCTAAAACTAACACACAAGCAAGAAACACCTATTCATTTATTGATTTTCTTGTCTAATATTATGAAGATTAGCTTAAACACAAAATTTTTGATTTTTCAAACATCTGAAGATCCCAAAATTCTATTTTAAGTGATATTTTGAATAACACTAACCTAGCAGGTGACTGCAAAAAAAATCAATAATAAAATATTTAAAGTCAATGTTTTAGATTATGAGTATTTAGTTGGCAAAATGGTTCCTTATAAACACCAAGTTAAATTTTCTATATATATAACACCGTAATCAAGAAATGAACGTTTTCGTATATTCTTAATGTTAATTTTGATTTTTCCTATCAACTTTCCTATCATCTTAATGTTAATTTTTTTAAGAAAATTTTTTAAACATCACGGGATTCGAACCCATGACTTAACGTTTTAAAAACGTTCTTCCCACTCAGCAACCTTCTATATTAAATTTTGTAATATAATCTTTTTAATATATGTTATTAATTTGTTATTAACATATTTTTCGATTAATTTATATAATTTAGATCTTATTGTGTTATATTAAAAAGAACTAACCCCACCTCAAATTATGATAAGTAAAGTTTTCTAAAATAAATGATTGTTACGAGATTATTTATTTTATTTTAAATTAATAATTTAATTTTATAT